AATTTAATGAAATTTAATTTAATTTCATGAAATTAATGAAAACAACTGTATAAACAACACAACCTGTAAAAATTCACACATCAGAAATAATGACATTTAAAGAGTTGAAGAAGAAATACTGCCCAGTGGTAGCCCTCCTTATTTAATTCTAAGCAAGACGATCACGAGGCCATCTTCTTTTCATACGCCTTGAGGGATTATCAGGAATCGAGGAAGAAGCAAGGCTGGAAACAAGTGGATTCCGATGGGACTGAAGTTTATCATGAAAGGATAGATATCTGGCTCGAGCTAAATCAGCGGCATATTTGAACAGTAAAATGAAAAGAATATAAAAGTTAAATAACACATATATTGATCGTGATTCTGGGCCTTTCGCTAACCTTGAATTCGCTCTTGAAATAAGTATTCGCTATTAAATTAAGTATTATAAACATATTATACATGTAATAAATTATATTATACTTATGATAAATTTATAAGTATTATAAAGAACCATCTATAAAAACTTCAAACTTCCAATAAAAATTATTGCGACTAATAACAAAAGCACCTTGGTGACTAACAAAACTCTAGTTATTAACCTCCGCCTTTCAGTATAGAACGACCCACTACCAACTACTTGACACAAATTTAAACGGACATTACAACTGATTAATAGAAGGCAAGGCAACAGCTGACGTGCCTCTGAATATGGGTAGGAGACTAAAAAGGCGTTGGATGAGAGATCTCCTTTCATAGACAACCTAAGTAATTGAAAAAAGTAAGGGAAGAGGTGATGCTGAGTACTGTCCTTCTCCATGCCTGACATGGAGTCATAATTTCTTGTATTTCAACACATTTGCTGATTGTCGACGCAAGTTGACAGTTACAAATAAATATATAAAAAAACGAGTATTATAAGCTAAAGTAAATATAAAAAAGTATTATAAACTAAAATAAAAATATATCATCCAATCTATCTATTGTCTGCAACACTAGAGGGTTAAGTTTTCTTACAAAAGAATTAATTGGTAAAACGAGCCTTGGAACCAAGCCAAGCCAATATTCTTTTAAACTAGCAGCTTTTTCACAGGGTCACCGATAGAGGTTGAAATTGAAAGTTTTTTCGTAAGTGGAATCTGTACAGTAAAATGAAAAAAGAAATAAACATTTATTTATTTATTAAAAAAAAAAGTCATACGATTTACTGCTTTGAAAAGGTAGGCACGTACATTGTTAATTTGAATGTTCAATAATTTATGTTTAATATCTCGTGCAGTTTTTGTTTCCATACATAGAGCATTATATTTTTGTTTCCTTGAAAAATTTTCAATTTTCCTTGATTGGTCATCCATTGAAATAAAAAAATACTACATTTAGTACTTGATTTTCTTCGATTATTTTGACTGTGAACTAAATCATTCATAACTCCTCAAAGTTGAAAAATGACCAGTCAATTCTCATTGGATTCCGCATAAAAGGGGGGAGCTACAGACAGTGGGTCACCGATTTCAATGAATTTTTTTTTTGGCGATATAAAATCGAAAAATATTTACGGCACGCTCCAATGAGCCGTAGGAGACTTGAAAATAAAGTTTATATAACTTTAAACAAAATATATGTTATTTATTTTTGGCTTTGCTTTGTCCCAGATTTTTAGGGTATTATATACTAATCTATTTATTTTTTGTCCAGAGTTAGAAAAAATATTGACTTTGTAATTAGATGAGTTATAATGTATTATAAGTTACAAAATCAAAAGTTGCTTCCAGTGAAATAAGGCAAGTCAATTTTTGTGAAATAAAAGCAAGTTAGATCGTTTTTAGGGACTACAAAAACTCTTCAATTCGAATTTTCATAAAACTAAAAAATGCAACATTTAGTACTTGATTTTCTTCGATTATTTTTTTCCGGCTGTCAACTAAATCGTTCATAACTCTTCAAGATTGAAAAATGACCAGTCGATTTTCATTGAATTTCGCATAAAATGGGGAAGCTACATTCACTGGGTCACCGATTTCAATCAACTTTTTTAGCCACACAGCATTGAAATATATTTACGACACGTTCCAATGAGCCACAAGAGACGAGAAATACAAAATTTATATAATTTTAAACGAAATTAATGTTATTTATTTTGGTCTTTGCTTTGCTCCGGATTTTTAGGGTATTATATACTAATCTATTTATTTTTTGTCCAGAGTTAGAAAAAATATTGACTTTGTAATTAGATGAGTTATAATGTATTATAAGTTACAAAAATCGAAAGTTGCTTACAGCGAAATAAGGCAAGTCAATTTTTGTGAAGAAAAAACAAGTTAGATCGTTTTTAGGGACTACAAAAACTATTCAATTCGAATTTTCATAGAAATAAAAAAAAAAATCAACGTAGTACTTGATTTTCTTCGATTATTTGTTTTTCCGGCTGTCAACTAAATCATTCATAAGTCCTCAAGATTTTCTTCAAATTCAACGTATAAATCGATTGGTATAGAATATCGTCAAAATACGTGCAAAGCAACGCTAAAAATAAATATCTTAAATATTGTATTAAATTATATTAAGAACAAACGTCTCACTTGGAATCCTCATATAAGACTGAAACGACAAGAAACTGCTCAACGTTTCCGCTTACTCCAACACTTACTAGACAAATGATCAAAGCTTCCAATTAATTACAAAAGACTCATATACATGACAATAATAAGATCTATTTGAACTTATGGAGTTGAGCTATGGGGCTCCACTAAACAATGGAATTCCTGTCGTAGCCAATCCATACAATTCAAAATGCTTCGTAAAATCCTTAATACTCCTTACTTTGTCACAAATAAAATAATCCATAAAGACCTTAATGTTCCATTTGTTTCAGATTTGACCTGCTCCAGATACCTATCCTTCCATAATAAATTTCATAACCATCTGAATCCTCTTGTTTCTAACCTTGCTTTCTCTTCGATTCCTGATAATCCTCCGAGATGTCTGAAAAAAATGTGGCCACGTGATATCCTTTTGTAGACATATTATTAGAGTGCTACCAGTGGGTAGTTCTTCAACAAGCGTTTTCATGTGATTACATTTTTGTGTACACATTTACTTGATTTATTTATACTAATACAGTTGAAATGTCATAAATAGAATTAAAAAAAAAAAAATTGTTTTCTGAGATAATTTTTAGGATGATTTTGATGTGAATTTCAGGAATAGTTTCCGAAACGGTTACTCAATGTTACGAAAAATAAAGAAACACATGCGGAAGTTTTAATGTTTAATTAAAAAAAAAAAACAACTTATAACTTCCTGCAAAATTAAAAAAAAAAACACAATAACAACTGTTCTTGAAATGTTTCCTTCTTGCTGTTAAATACCAATCCAAATAAGCTTGTTGCTTGCCTCAAATAAAATATCTATATATTATTTAACAATAAATGCACACATATAAATATTCTATATATATCCCTCCATAGTCCTGAGTACAGTAACGTCTCTTCCCACTCGCCTAAACAGTTTAGGCCGGTAATCCTCTGGATCCATGAACTGATTGATCCGCCAATTGGAAAACCATTGGAGCGCATCGGCTACAACCTGCTATTCGGCCGCAGTCAGTTGAACGATGGGTCAAACCGATGGAGATGGGATTTGCGGTCCTCTTCACCCGTACAATGCTACAGAAATAGTTCCTTTATATTTCTTGCAACATAAACGTTGACAAATAGCACGTACTCTTCTAGAAACAATTCTATTTAAAAATAATACATTTTTTTTATTTAAAAACCTTAAAGCAGAGACACACATGCACGCCCCACGTCCGAGCCGCATCACGGCCTAAAGCACCCATGAAACTAAACATTTGGGTAAGGTTAGATCTTCATACCAGACTGAGACGACAAGAAATCGCTCGACGATTTCGACTACTCCAACACTCACTAGACAAATGCTCTAAGCTTTCAGTTAATTACAAAAGACTCATATACATGACTACAATAAGACCTATTTCGACTTTCGGAGTTGAGATATGAGGTTCCACAAAGTCATTTAATTCTTCACGTATTCAATCCTTACAATCCAAAATCCTTCGCAAAATCCTCAATGCTCCTTACTTTATCGCTAGTAAAATCATCCATACTGAACTTAATGTTTCCGATTTGGCCTAATCCAGATACCTATCCTTTTTTAATCAACTTCAGAACCATCCGAACCCTCTCTTTCCTAAACTTTGCTTCCTCTTTGATCCCTGATAACCCTCCGAGGAAAGAGGCGTCTGAAAAGAAGATGGCCTCAAGATCATCACTTAGAGTGGGTAGTTTCTCAACAAGTATTTTCATGTTATTATTTTCTGTTATCACAATTACTGAATGTATTTTATTTATATACAGTTGTAAATATCATAAATAAGTAAATAAAAAGGTTACGTTAGAACTGCACTCAGATCAAGCTACTGTCATTTTTGGTTTCATCGAGAAGGGAGTTCATATAGCTATGGTGTGGTTTGGATGCGGTCAATTAATTGACAAATTTATTTAAGAATCATCAAACTGTAAGTTGACTTTTACATCAGCCATATTGAGATATGGCTATTATGCTACAATTGTTAGGATCCTTTTCCTATGGAGTGGTTAATGACGCGTTGAATTCTATTGTATATGATTGTAAGTCTATCCTATTCTCTTTTATAGCAACAAAAACCTTAGACTTTAAAATAAAGTTAGTAGAAATATATTTATACTTATTTCAGTTATATTCGTTAGGCTAAATGGCGGCTCCAATGTATGCAATTTTTGATATCTGTTGGTTGCTTGAAAACGGCTCTTCGCTCGACCGAGTCTCCATGAACGGTCTACTTGTTTTTTATTAGTAGATGGCAATTAATTATTTATTATTTATTAATGGCATTGAATTGGTCTGACTTGATATTTAGCATTATATTTAGGACTGGACTGGCACTAAATGGAACAACTATTTCCTTTAAGGACCTTTTGACCTCCGATCTGTCAATAGTTCACCAAGCTAACTCCGCTTACCACTAAACTCTCAACTCCCATCCAATCCTTGAAGTTTTCGGTTAATTGCGTGATACACCTTTCAGCGTGGATCTAACTCTGCACTCCCGCTTACACGTGGTTATTTTAAGAAAAATGTTAAAAAAATTGTTTTTTTTTAATTTAAACAGAATGTTATATTACTCAACAAAAAAAAAAATGTATTCATTTTCATTACAAATTGCATTATGTACGAACGTTAAATACATAAAACGACCCAATATGAATTAGACATTGATATAGTATTTGTCTTTAATATTTTATTTATAAAAATATTTCATACATGTATTGCCATTTTAGTTATCGAATTCTTATTTTAACAAAATTTCGAAAATATCACCATTGACTTCTTAATATTTTCGGCTTCGTCTTCAAAGAACGACAGGTGTCCTCCTGATGGTTTCATATCTAAGTTTAATATCGCCTGTAGTATTTTTGATACGTTGAATTAGTGCATTTCGAGTGTCTTCTTTTACTTTGTATACTTCATCTTTGTACTAACCCCATAAACAATTATCTATTACTGTGTGGTCTGGAAATCTAAGAGGTTGACTAATTGGACCGCCGCGACCAATTCAATGATCTGAAAACCTTATATCCGAATGTTGTCTCACCTTACAAGCGAAATGAGTTGGACTTTCAAGTTCAAAGTGTATTAGTATTCTCATATTTAAAGGATCATCCTCTAATAGTTCTTGTAATTTAAATTGAAAAAAATCCAAGTAGTAGTCTGCTGTGAGGTGATTCAGTAAAAATGGAAGTGTTAATGCCGTGCCGTTAGATAATCAAAATATGTTTTTGAAACTTTTACTCTGGTGTATTGGCTACAAAAAAAACAAAAAAAAAACACATTTGAGTTCCTTTTTCTGATATTTCTTTAAATGACCCATATTCAGGGGCACGTCAGCTGTTGCCATGCCTTCTATTAATCAGTTGTAATGTCCGTTTAAATTTGTGTAAAGTAGTTGGTAGTGGGTCGTTCTATGCTGGTCGAATGTTGGAAGGCGGAGGTTTATATCTAGAGTTTTGTTAATCACCAAGGTGCTTTTGTTATGAGTCGCAATAATTTTTATTGGAAGTTTGAAGTTTTTGTAGATGGTTCTTTATAATACTTATAAATTTATCATAAGTATAATATAATTTATTATATTTCTGGCTGAAGCCCCCCCCCCCAAAATGGTAAAATATATCCACATCTTACAAAAAAAAAAAATTATCTCTAAAAAGTATTACTGTTAGTTAATTACATTTAATAGGATCTCAACAAACACCATTTCCTATTGGTAGTTAGTTTCTTTCTTTTTCTTTCAAAGTAATTATCGTTAAATATATAGAAAAAAAAAGCTTTCGAGCTGAAGCCTCCGCCCCAAAATTAATTCCTGAATCCGCTAGTGCCAACAGTTAACGACCAAATGCGGACACTCTACAAACAATTTCACAATAAACTTACATGGACATACTAACACACTGATACAAGACATGGCCTCGATTAACATGTCCAAAAACACACTTTGGAGGCTCAAAAGAAGCTGGATGAGGGATTTCCTCACCTAAAAAAATATACTTTAAGTATGAATGTTTTCCTTTTTAATCTATTTTTTTTTATCTATTTATTTCTATTACTTATATAAATTTTTTTTCTACGAATTTCTGTATTTTATTTAATTTTATCTTCAAGTCACATTTCTTTGTTTTGTTTTTTTTTATAATTTTTGCCTTGTTATATAGGTATATTTTTATTTATGAATTTTTTGTTTTTGTATTGTATATATTGTATGAATGAGCCTCACTCAGATATAGTACTCAGTGCCCTTAAGTGTGGAAAAATGTATTTTTTACCAATAAAAAGGTCTTTAAAAAAAATAAATGCTGAATTCAAGCCAAGAAGGGATACCGCTGGGTACTCCTATCCTCACTCCGATCAAGCCACTATTAGTATTTTCCCGACTTCCCGACAGCAGATTCGCTAATTGTCAGTACATCTGACAGGTGTGGGTAACAAAAATAAAGTAAAAAAAAATGTTTAAATAATTTAATTTTTATCTGTATTTACAATCCTTTCACACCCTAAAAAAATAAAAAGACAGTTGGTTTAAAAAAGTTATATCTGCACATAGAAACCTTGTGTGACTATGAAAGTGCATTCTGTAATATCTTATTGTATCTTCTAATTGTAAAATTTCAATATTCAAAATCATATTAATAAGTGGTACAATTAAGTCATCAAACACAGTTGTTAGTATAAGTAAAAAAATATTCACACAGTAAATTGTAATAATCATGAAGCTATGTTTCTCAAACTTATACAGTTAAAAACCTTTGCAAATCAAGGCCATGAAATAAAGAAAAATATAACAAACATATAGTCCTTGGTACAGACCCCTTTTTATCAAATTATTAACATCCGGCTGAAATTTCGTAAATAGCTTTATCTCATCGTAACCTACAAATATTTTATTTACGAAAATTCTCGGAATTTGGTCGTTTTCAATATGGAGGTCAGCAATCTTTGACTATTTAATTAGGTACAAAAAACTCGAAAATACCCATTTTCTCTTCTTTTGAATCGTAAGATAATTTGAGAAAAAATGGTGGCCTTCAAAAATATTGAGCCGTTCGGCGTGACCTATTCCTCCAAATTGTCAAAATAATAAGGTTATATGAGTCAAACAGTCCAATATTTTTGTAGGTGCCACCATTTTTTATCGGTTGTGTGATCACGACCCAAGTGAAAAGCAAATAGGTATTTACGAGGTTTTATTACCTAATTAAATAGACAAAGTTTGCCGATGGCCGATGTTAATAATTGATAAAAAGGAATTTATACCACGGACTAATAGTACTTAAAACAAATGAAATTATAATTGGGAAAGACAGATGGAAACATTTTTAAATCCATAGAAACAAAATACAAGCGTACCAGTATGCACGATGAATACAAATAATACATACGAATAAAATGTTCAATAATTTTTTACCTCTATAATTCCTTTTGTACGGTTATTATAAATATGGACAATAGAATACCAGGATGGGACAATGGGACACGAAACATAAAGGAAAGGATTTGTGGGAACCGGCGAAGCGTAGAGACGAAGGGCTACAAGAAATAGGAACACTATATCGAAGAGGAAACGTCATTCTGCTCTGTCCTGGCTGTTATTGGGACGGCCCAACAATACTTCTGGGTCACCACATATCATATCGTCCCCAGCACAACTCTTCTCGATAATAAATCGACGGCTGGATGTTATTTCCTCGTTTCATTTCATAGCCATTACCAAGGCCCGGATTTTTATGCAGTAAAAAAAAAACATAAAAAAATACAGTAACTGGCCTCTATTTATAAATAACTTATTTCAACATAATGAAGTGCCTAAAAAAAGTTTTGAAACGAAAAGAAATTATGGAGGGGTTAAAAATTACAATAATTTCAGTGTTTTTTTTTTTTTAAATATTTGAACTAAAGAATAACATACGGCTAATAAGGTTATAATATAAATATACACATTATAATGGCAACGAAAGCGGAACATGAATTACATTTAAAAAAATTAAATATCAAAGTATATACAAACGAAAAAAACAATAATTGTCTAAAAATAATTAAATAAGCATAAAAATAAAAGATAACGAATATTGAACAATAAGTATGTAAACGCTTTAAAACTTTGAATGTAAAAAAAAAAAACTAATATATAAGAAAAAATGTATCAAATTATTTTTAAGTATTAAAATTTTGTTTATGTAATTTAAACATAAAAATAATGAAATTGATGTATCGGTCGTTTTCGAAATATGACGCTTTATATAACTGATATAATGTGAAAAGTTTCTAAAGTTCCACTTTGAAGACTTATTAAATAATATATACTCGTATATTATTTATCGATAAAAAAATAATGTTTTTCGTTAGAACCATTGGAAAAAAATAACTTATGTTATTTTGAATTGATTAAAATATATGTGTATATATTAAAATATATCACTATATATATCTATATATATATATATATATATATATATATATATATGAGAAACCTAACTAAGTCTGAATGAAAAATTAAAAGAGTTGAATGCAAAAGTATATTGATTACACCAATTCTTTACATATAGTAACTAAAATTGTCAAGTATTAGTTACTAGTTGGCTCAATTTTTATTCAAAAAATGGTTTTTTTTTGTTACCAGTCTTAGTCTTGGTCTTGCAAAAGATAGGTGGTGTTGGTCTTGGTCTTTCAAAGTGCAACACCAAGACCGATTTTGGGCAACACTACTGGAGAGAGAGCAGAATGAGGTGTAGATGAAGATGATAAGCAAGCTGTGTGGGAGCGGTGTAGAGCTTGAGATGGGCCAGGATGACATACTTTTCTTGATGTGTGTTGTGAGATGGTGTTGTCAACGTCGGCACAAATAAAAACTTTATAATGACTGCATCCTGAATATTTATCACCCATGATACGTAGACCAGTCGACTAGCTCCCTTCAATAATTCATTAAATCATTGGGACCGCCTATCTACAACAAGAATACATATCATCGCTGAAATCCACCACATCAGAGATATGAATTCTTCGTACGTTGACAACACCATCTCATAACACACATCCAAGAAAAGCATGTCATCCTCACCCATTTCAAACTCTACATCGCACTCAACTTGTTCTTCATCTTCATTTACAGCTCATTCTGCTCTCTCTTCAGATACTTTAAACACCAACACAAAGCCCTAATGATGACCCACACGTTTAGGTTGAAACTTCGGCACTAATAAAAACCTTATAATGACTGCGTCCTGAATGTTTATCACCGATGTTACATATATATTTAGTTCAAGATAACGGGAAGATATAGGAGTAATTTTGTGAAGAGAAACCATCAGAGTGACCACTGAATTATTATCTTATACAATATTATGTAATAATATTACCTTGTCTATGGGAGAAACTGTAATAAATCGATTGCTTGGATATTTCATATCTCAAACAATGTAATATAGATTGT